TTTTATTTTTAAAAAGTTACTCTAAGTTTTTCAGTTATTAACTAATTTTATGTACTCATTTATCGGGCTAATTATTAATGTTAAAAGCAGTAATTCGTTTCAACCTATTAATGGTCATTTTATTACAATTATCGAAAAACTTTTTTGTAAGATTATCTAATTATTTTTATTTAATTAATATTCTTACTAAAACAGGTCTCAAAATTTCATTGAAATTTAGCACAATATAAACAAATGATATTCGTATAGGTTATGTTTATTTAATTTCCAACTTAATAATAAAAAACCTTCTAAAACTTATTACAGTTAATATCATTTTTAAATTGTAAATTGTGCATAATTCTGAAATATAGCAATTTTTCTCAGCAAAAGTAAAAGTAAATAGGCACAAACTGTTTAGAATTTATAAAATATTATTTAAACTTTAAAAGTTCAAAAATAATTGACAGTTTTTTTGTCAAACTTAATGATAAATAATAATATCAATTATTTTTTTGCATAAAAAATGATGCATTTTTGTACTTCATTTAAAAAAATTTGATCATATCACTAAAATATCAGAAAAAAAATTAAAAAAAACAAACCTCGCAATTTTTTTGGTCCGCATTTGATCACTGCAGAAAATTCGTTGACCTTCTTTAGTTGGTTTAGTTTCAGGTAATAATTCCAATATAGATCGGTTATCGGTATAAGTAGCGCTCAATGACCGTTCTAATCCAAAGTTATTTAGCATTTCAACAGGGGTCATACGCCCCTTCAGTGCTAAATTACACTTATTATGTGTTAACTGATTGATTTATGACAGTTACATGTCCACTGTAAATAATGACCCTAAATGGACAGTTATGGGAAATAAACATCTATCCCTTGATATCGGTTATAGTGTATGTGATTTGGTAAGTTATGGGAAAAGCAAACTGATCTTTTATGTCGATGATTATCTTGACACATTATCTTGACATATTATCCGTCTGACATAAGCGTATGGATTTTATAAGAAACACTTTTATACTTTCTTACGTTATGAAAGGATTATCATATCATTTGATTTCATATTTTACATTATTCAGTACAATAATATTCAAAAAAATATTTATGATATATCTGCTAACACTATATTATTTCATTTACGAATTATTATTTCAGTATTCCAATTATTATTGGAATTCATAAATTTTATCTTACTTATACATACAATCCAAATTAGTAATGCTGCCCATTAAAATTGGCATTAAACTCTCATTAATTTTATTCATTAAATTCAAACTACAATATTTTAATTTGTTAGTTTTTATTAATCAACATCTTACTTCTTCCATAACTGATATTAATAAACTTTAAATTATTTTATTAATTGATTTAATATCATTATTTGGGTCTAAAATTTATTCGTTAATTTTGTGATTATTAGAGGTTGCAGACATTATTAATCATAATTTGTTGAAATTAGTATTGAATTAATTAATATAGATCGCAGTCACAACCCAAACTTTTTGAAAAAATGTTATACTTTGTAAATTCAAATTTTTGTTTTCAACAAAATCAATAAAATCAATAAAATTTGATTTTGAAGCAATAAAATTATTAGTAATAAATAAAATGCGCAGAAATACTTCAAGAGACTGATAGACAGATAAATTAAGATCTTAAGTTAAATTTTATGCCAAACTTAGCAACTAATTTGTAATTAATAATTCAAATTTTTAACCTCGTTCTATCTTTGATGCATCTGACTGCTTTGCATAATTTTTCTGATCGTTAGCACTACTTTTTTTTGAGTCCTTACTGACTTTTGCTTCTGATGTCCCACGTATCGATGCAGCTCGTTGTGGTTTTTTGCGGATGTCGCACTAAAATGAACAAATTTGAAAAGTTAATCCAATTTTAATACTAAAAGTAAAAAAATTTAAATATTTTTATAATAGTTCATGCAAATATGAATTCGGACGAAAAATTAATTTCAAATTTCAAAAGCTTTACAAGAACTTGTTGAAAGTTCGTTTGAGATCAAACTGAGAGTAGATAAATCGAAACTTTTAATTATATCTAAATCCGATTTTCTCCCAAGTTATTTTTGAACAGTGTATTTGGATTTACAAATTACTATAATGCAACTAAATCGGGAAAAATTATGGATTTCAAAAAATTGAAAAATTAATATCTATCATTTTTTCCTTGCTATAACTGAAGTTATTCATAGTTTTGATAAATCAAAAAAACTGTGTCTACAGTAAAAATTTTATTTTTTATTTTTTGTTACATAAAATAAAAATTAAGTAAAAATGAATTTCAGTATTTTATCATTGTTAATCGTCTAACTTTTAAAAGATTTTAATTAAAGTTGATAGCCATTTCTATTTTTATTAATCCTCACTGTTATGAATTTATGAATGGAATACAATAAATTATTAATTAATTTATTGTATTCCATTCATAAATTATACTTCAGCTAAATTTTTTTAAATAATAAAGAAAAGGCGCTGACTACTTTTTGAAAATACTTCAAAATTATTTGAATATGTTCTATTATAATGAAATGATGGCTAAATTAGCTAATTTATTTGAAAACAAAAAATACTATCAATTAATTTTAAATTTTATTAATAGTATTTTTTGTTAGCATATCATGTGAGCAAAGTTGAATTTGAAAAAGTTTTTGCCACAATAAATACTCATACAGTTAATCCTCACTTGATTTAAAAACTATTGTTATATTTTAAAATAAAATAAGTATTTTTACTGCAAAAAAAAATACTGCATAAGCAAAACTGCAAATATTTTCCATCAAAGTTAAAAACCTTCACTTACGTCGTAAACTCAAAAAAATATGAACTTGGAATGAAAAAAACAGACAATTTTAAGGAATTATGAACGTTTATGCAAATATTATGTAATTATGCAAAAATTTACTTTAACTGTTTGAAACTTTTTTGCCTGAAATGCTTTTATATATAGTTCCAAGTCTTCAAGTTTGGAGAAGAAAAACAAATTGTGTTCAAATGTACTCAATTTATGAATTTTAAAGTTTCTCAAAAAATATACAATATAAATGGATTTTTAATAATTCATGTGTAAAATCTTTTTAAACTTATTTACTTATTTTTTAGATAAAAAAAAGAATGTAATTTGATTAAATTATTTCAATTTATTTAATTTCAGTTATCTTTTGCTAGCTCATCTAATAAACGCAATTATATTTGTATGTTATTAATATATGCAAATTTTTGGCTGATTTATGCAAGTTACAGTAAGAAAAAATTTTGTTTGGTTTTTTTTGATCACAGAATGAACGTTTACGGTTTCTGTCATTGTTTGAAAAGTTTTAAGTGTTGTAATTTGAAAAAACGTTAACCAAAATTATAACTTAATTATTAAATTAAAAATTGTACAAATTCACTTCATTTTAATTTCCTTTAACAGTTTAATAGCACATCTTACTGATTCCACAACTTTAATTAAAAATAATGTTATTTTGATTAAAATTTGATATGAATATTAATGATAGATTTTTATTACTTTTCTAGTATTGATAATAGATACAATTACAATATTAACTGTTATAATTGGTTAAAGTATTTGCTATTTTTTTATAAAATTTTTGTAGTGACAATGAAGCAATTTGGCTTCAATAATTAGTATTGTTATAATTGATTACTGCTTATTCCAAATTCAAGTGAATTTCTAAATTATGATGATTACTTAAAATTATCAAAAATTTGAATAATTACTGATTTAACCGTTGGAAAGTTTTCGTTATCAGATTCATCTGTGAAATCGAATGAGAGTGATACATTTTGTCGAACATTTGGAATAGCAGCTCGAGGAAGTCCATCTCGAGAATTCATCGCTGGCTTGCGAATACTTCTGAGAGCTTTCGTTGTCAAACCTAGAAGAGCATTATAAAGCATACTGTAATTATATATATTCAAATGTAGTTAAATAATAAAGTAGACGTATACTGTACTATTTAGCAGAAATTTTGACAAGTTTAAATAAAAAATTTAAGTTGACTAAATTTCAATTATAACAGGGCACTCATTATATATATTTTTGCATTCAAGTTTAAATAATTACTACAAAAATTTCTATAGAAAATTACTGTAATGATAAATCAGCAAAATAATGTGCGTTGTTTTAGATTAAGCAATAATTGAAATTTTTCAGCTAAAAGACAACCTTAATAGTGAATAATTATTTTGCATAGAAAAGCTTCTCGTAAAAATGAAACTTATTTTTTAAGTAAAAAAAGCAAAAAAAAAAAGGCCATAACTTTTGTAAAGTAAATAGAATATAAAAGTTATTAAAAGTTGAAAATTTATGTTATAATTGCTAATCAAAATATTAATGCAGTAATACTAAAATGAAAAAATTTGTTTCGTCATTGCAATACAAGTTGTATACTTATTGCTGCTTTTATTTAGTAAAAAATAAGCTGAAAAACTAATTTAATAAAGATTATTACTGCAAAAAAAATTGCTATTTTCATACAATAATATAATAAACTTACGCGCAGCAATTAATGAAAACTCGTTTTTGTCAATCGAGTTTTTTACAAAAAATTACACAATTGTTTACTAGCCGAATATCAGTGTCATACATTCTGGTATTACTTAAAAATGAATACTAATTTTTTTCAACTGAACTGTACTATCAGCATTTCTATTAAATGAATACTTTTTTAAAGATAAATAAGTAAAATAAATAGTTTTTGAGGTCGAAATTCAGCAAAAACACAAATTTATAATTTCTACCGATTAAAATGCGACAAAATGCTTTATTATTCTAAAAAGCTGAAATAAAAACTATTAAAACAATTTGCGATTTAAAAAATGATAATTTTTGTCAAAGCAAAGGATATCCAGTGCATTTGTAAATTAAATGTAATATATTTTAATTTTATTTTTTGCAAGTTTAAATTAACTTTGTAGATACAATTTTGAACTGTTATTTTATTTTCTGGTAAACAAAAATCTATTTGACAGTATTCAAATAATAACGAATATAAATCGCTGTTTCAGCTGATATATATGTTATTTCACATTAAATTCGTAATTTTTTAAAATTGCAACATATTTATTTTAAATTGAAATATATATTTGTTCCTTTATCAAATATATTATTTTTTTTAATTTTACGATCAATTGTTAATCAAAAAGTTACTACTGCTGAAGTTCTGAATTAATGGCAATGGTGAAGTGTGACGAGGTTGCTTCGGTAATTCAGCACCATAAAAATCCCAGCATGACCAACGACCACGTTCATATTGTGATTCCACGGGAACAATCTGTTGAAATTATCTATTTATTTAAATTTTCATTAATAATTAAATAATTCGATTTAATTTGTATATTTGAGTAAGTATATCAAGCGATTTAGAATAAATAAATAAATATTTGATAATTATAAATCATCTTAATAGTTATACTACTCAGTTATTTCAATCAATATTTCCAAGTTTAATTTTATTCAGTCTCATATTTTAATCAGTAAATCAAAGTTAGAAATTTAGTATTAAGCTTGCGTTGCTGCTGAAATCACTTTTTGCATTTATGGGAAGCTTAACTGAATGCAAGCAAAATATAAAAACAATCCGTTCAAGCGCACTTTTGGAGCTATAAAAACTGATTTTGCAGATTTTTTTTGTTAATAATTAATAATATTCACTTATAGATTCTTATACTGAGTAGAAACAAAAAATATATATATTTAAACTAATTGATTAATAATTAATTTAATATGATTTTATATATTATATGATTTTATATATGACTTTTCTTTCTTTATGAATACTTAATGAAAATAATTTTCATTTTATTTTATTTCAAATTCTCAACTTTTGTTGATTGAATAATAAATACAAATTAAATTAAACTTAAAATCATTAATTTAATGATTGAAAAATGTTAGACACATAATTGCTAATTGCATCTGAGCTTTTAACTTTGATCAATCGCATCTTGGGTAATATTTTTTATAAAAATTATCGTGAAAAACTTGTCGAAAAATATGTAAAGTTTTGAATGTGTGCTGAAAATTACTTGCTGAAATTATTAATATTGCTTTCTCGAAGATTAAGAGGTTAAGTTGTTGTAATATTTTGCAATTCTAAGAAATCTGACTGAATATTTTAGAATTTTTGCCCTCACTGACAAATCAATTTAAATGAAAATCAGTTGCTGAGCTTAACATATTTTGTATGAATTACATTAGAAATTAAAAAGCGTTCAGTTAATAATTATTCATCTTTAGAATAAACTTCTTTGTGCTAAAGTATGCTCTCGGCTGTTTTCAGAATTAACTCTTGCCAATAATCTTCATAAAAACAATATATTCTTATGTTTTTTTCAACAGATTGCAAAATTTGCATATTCATGGAACTGAAGAAAAACTGTGTACAATATTTTTGAATCATTAAATATTTTAATTAATTTCAGCTAAATTAATAATTGCAAATACAGGAGTTCTTACTAACAAATCATTCAACATTTTCTTTCATTATTCTAACTTTCATAAATATCACTTTACTTACATAAATTTGCATCAAATAAGCTGTAAAACCCAAAATTATTGCAGATATTATTTATTTCACATGCAGATTATTATTAATGAAAGAATTTTCAATTATAGTCTAATATTTGAAATTATTATAACATATTTTCAATAATACATTTTAGCATAAAACTTCACGTCATTAACAAAACTTACTTTGAAACGTGACCCATTCATTTGCTTGCTACTATTGGGTTGACATTGTGATTGCTTTTCAGGTATTTTATGAACTTCTGCCGGTGATTTGTGATAATTATATCTTGTCTCAGTGAAAATCACTCCTGCGATTATAAAACTTTTCTTCATAATAATAATAATTTTCATTATTGTATATTGCCTGTTACTATTAATAATAATAATAATAATAATAATAATAATAATAATAATAAT